TTGCTGTACAGGCTGCTGCCACCGGCTGGCTAGGTCACTCTGTAAGTAAGGCTTTTCCCTATTAAATACCCTTATATTTCTACCTGACTCCGTATTGGTAATTTCCCACTACAATGCACAATTCAGACATGTGTGCCAATGGCTGGGAAACCACAGACCTTTAACTTGGTTGATCAGAAGGTGTGTTAATAGGGAAAGCCTGCAGAGGAGGGGGAGGGAAAAACCAGACTACTTAACTCTCTTTAAACACACAATAGTAATAGCTAGCAGGACAAGGTGATACTGTGAGAACAACGGGAGGCCCCTGAATTAATTACTTTTAATCCGATGTGATAAATACCATGATGAAAATCAACATAAAGAAGGAAGGTTTTGTGGTGACTTAGAGTTCCAGAGGAGGAAGAGTCCATAGTGACCAGGAAGGCATGGCAGTAGGGAGTCCTGAGCCAGAAACTAGCTGGTCACATCTCAACTGCACTCAGGAAGTGGAGGGTTCTAACTGGAAGTGGGGTAAAATTACAGACTCTCAAAGCCCACCTCCAGTAACTTACTTCCTCCTACAAGACTTCCGACATTAAGTTCCATAATCTCCACAGACAGCTCCACCAACTGGGGACCAAGTGTTTAAACACATGAGCCTATGGGGGACATTTCTCATTCAAACAGCCACAGATCCCATATGCCATGTAGGGCAGCTGAGGACCCATAAAGTCCATGTCCTAGACTAGTGTCTTACTTTCACATGTGAATGCTGAGTGACACTCGGGTTTACTCAACCCAATAAACCTCTCTCCTTAAAGCAGGCTTTCTATGCACACCTGTGATAAGAGAGGATATTCAGGTTATGTTAAGAAGGGCAAGTCTATGCCAATCAGTGGTGGAGCGCATCTTTAATCCCAGAACTTGAGAGGAAGAGGCCGGTGATCTGAGTTCAACGCCAGCCTGGTCCACACAGGGAGTTCCTGGACAGCCAGACAGCCAGGGCTACAAAAAGAAACCCTGTCTCAAGAAGAAAAAAAAAAGACACATCTGTGCCATTAAAAATAGTCAAGTCTTTATTCTAACCAGTTAAGACTGCTTCCCATTCTTTTTTAAATAAAGGTTTTATTGTTTTTGTTCAACATTTTCTCTTCTACCCACAGAACCAAATGTACGTTTCATCAGTGTACATCAACATTTGGTATAATTTCTTCCAACTTCATATTTACTTGTTTTCTTCACACATGTAAACAAGACTACAAACAAACAAACGAAACCAAAACAACAAGAACCAAAACACAAAAGCCCAAGCAGGGGCCTAGAAGGCAAGCTCATAAAATACACATTGAGCTTTAAATAACCAAGCAGCAGTGTGGCCAGCTTCCTTTGTCAACACACTTCTTAGCACATGTGGCCTTTTAGATGTCAGTCCCCCACCTGCGACAGCACCAACGGCAACTTCACTGCCGTTTAACTGCACAATATGGATCATCGTAACAAACCAAAAAAATGCAAATATCCCCTACAGTTCAGCTGTGTTTTCTTTGTTGCTGCTGTTTGAGAGGACTTAGGGAAGACTTACAGCCTCAGAAACATGTTGTTTAACAATGGGAGAGGAAAGAGGAACTTTAAACGTTTGTATGAAGCTTTATGACATGTGCATCTTAGATTGATTCACTGAGAAGGAAGCAGTCTTCTATTTTTAAGATCCCTAGACACAGCCTGGCCTCCTGGTCTCAAACACTTCCCACCTGTTCCTATTCATCACACAGTGTGATCTCCTGGTCTCCACTGCCCTGTGGCTCCCACAGATACACAGGAAACTGCCTACAGCTCCTAACTTCCTATCTTGCTAGGCTGCGGCTTGCTGTGTACTAAGGCTGATTTTATACCCAAACTTTTCTTTACTTCCTGTTTCTTTTCCCTTGTTACACGATTCACCAAAAATCTGCTCTCAAATTGACAATTCTGAATATGATGATATCCCAGAAATTCTGCTTGATCTTTTTACTAAAGCTCACATATCACACCATAGATTTAATTAGTTTTTTTTTTTCTTTTTGAAACAGGTCTCATGTGGCCCAGGCTGGCCTTGAACTTGCTATGTAGCTGAGGATGACCTTAAACTCCTGATCCTCCTACCTCTACTTCCCAAGTACTGTAATTACAGGCCTTCATCGACCATTTGGTGTCATGCCAGAGCTTTGTGAGCCCTAGGCAAGTCAGATCTTATGAAGGCATTTTTGCAATCCATGGTTCCCTCCTTTCAGATAACTCTAGTTTGTGTGTCAAGTTGGCATAAGATTAGCCAGCACAGGGGCTGACAGAAATTTGTCTTCAAATAGAGTTTCAGACTTTTCTTGGTTTTCAAGCAACCTGAATGGTTGGTAGAATGATCTGGACCTCACTGTGCTCTTGTGTCCATGTGGATCAGGGTTTCCTTCCTCAGTGAACCCTGTCCACTGTAACATGCACCAAAATCCTTAGCCACAAATGCTCCTCAGAAACAAATGTCCTCAGGTGGGTTTCTTCTCTAAGAAACATATTTCCTAAAAGCAGCAGAGATATGGAGAGAGCATCTCCTTAGTATCTACCAGTGGTGAAACAACCCCAACCTAAACTTAACTCCTGGAAATGCACAAAGAACAGGTGAGGTTCATTAGGAAATCTGAGCATTGCTATAAACCAACGTTCTCACATTTCCAGAGGGTTAGGACATGGTTACATCCCAAACCTACCAAGTCAGAACTATGGGGGCTAGACCCAGGCATCTGAAGGCTTCATGAGATTGTCAGCTTACTTCTAACACTCACTACCACTGAGAAACACTGGTCTAGAGCCATGGAGTAACTTGATGATAACATAGTGTTACCGCTAATCTTGGTTGTCAATAAACTTCTGGGTGTGTCTGTGAGATGTTTCTAGTGAGGTTTTGGTGTGGAGAGAACACAGGGTGGGTGGAACCGTTCTGAAGGCTGAATAGAAAGAAAAAGGCAAGTGGAACACCACATCCACACCCCTCTGCCTCCTGACTGCTGTGCAGAAACCAGCTCCTTGACACTCCTGCCACCATGATGTCCTTCTTTACGTTGATTCTTGGCAAGAAAAATAACTTATACACAAAGTGAAAAATTGGACATTTGGCCCTATGTGATGACTCCTAACAGTCTCCATATTCTTTGACTTGACATCTGTGGATTTAATTGAGAATCAAAACAGAAAAGAAAATTTTGTCTACACCGAACAGAGACAGACTTCCTCTTCTTATCATTCCTCCCTAACCAACAAGTATAACAACTCTCCCCATAGGATGTGTACAGCATCAGGCATGTAAGAGTAATTTAATGACGGATATACCCAACTTCCTGGAGGCTATGCATACACAGGTTCCAGATCACTTCCTATGAGGGACTAGAACTTGTAAAGATTTTAGTGTTCAAGCATGTCTTGGAACTAAGCTCTCAGATACCCAGGGAGGACTGTATTTTCAATTGATATACCTGGACACTGGTTGGTGGTTTTGTTTTGTTTTCTCAACTACCATAATCGAAGAAAAATGAAAATACCCAGATTTAGTTGGACAGTGGTGGCACATGTCTTTAATCCCAGCACTTGGGAGGCAAAGACAGGTGGATCTCCATGAGTTTGAGGCCAACCTGGTCTACAAAGTGAGTTCCAGGACAGCCAGGACTGTTACACAGAGAAACCCTGCCTCAAAAAACAAAACTAAATAAACAAAATGAAAAAGAGAAACTATGCAGATTTCACACTTTTGTAAGTAAACATCAAATTTCTCCACATTGCTTCTAGATTTTTAAATCTTATCCATATTTTGATGAATAAGAATCTCTCAGGTCTGGGGAGATAGTTCAGTAGCTGAAATGCTTGCCATGCAAGCTTGAGATCCTGAGTTGAATAACCAGGTAGAATTGCCAGGTGCTGTGGTGTACTGGAATCCCAGGCTGGGAAAGTGGAACCAGTCAGATCCCTGGGGCTTGCTGGCCAGCCTTCGTAGCACCATCATCAAGTTCATGGCCAACAACAAGTGACTCCACCAAAACAAGCAAACATAATGGGCCGGGAGGGGTGGCTCCAGTGAGATTGTCTCCAAGCCTGAGTTTAATCCCTAAGTTTTATGTAGTGGAGAGAAGCAAAAGTGTGAAATCTGTATACATTTATCTTTCTTTCATTACAGAAGTTCAGAAAGAAACTCCTACAGGTTGTCCTATGGCCTCCACACCACCCCTCATGTTGTGGCATGTTATGTCTGCATACACACAAATAGTTAATGTAATTCTTTTAGAAATGTAAGAGCAATGGGTAACCCAAGAGGAAAAACACCTAAGGTTAACCTTTGGTATCCACATGAGTGTACAGACACACGAACACCCCACTCACAGATATTTGCAGCATACCTATTTATTTTTTTCAAAATTTGGTTGTGTTGGTAAATTTTTCTTTTGTTTTGTTTTGTTTTTCGAGACAGGGTTTCTCTGTGTAGCTTTGGAGCCTATCCTGGCACTCATGTGCCACCAATGCCCGTGTTGGTAAATTTTAACATGGGTGCTAGAGACCTTAACTTAGGTACACCAATTTACAGAACAAGCACATTGCCTAATGAACCACCTCCCAGTCCCTTTGTTGCAAAATCTATGATTGAGATACTAACCTTGTCCAGTGTGGTGCTTTGAAAGAAAATGGCCCCCATAGGGAGTGACATTATTAAAAGGTGTGGCTTTGTTCTAGTGGGTGTGGACTTGTTGGAAAAAGCATGTCACTGTGAGGGTGGGCTTTGAAGTCTCCTTTGCTCAAGCTACACCCTGTGTAGACACAGTTGCTTCTGCTGCCTGCAGATCAAGACGTAGAACTTTCAGCTCCTTCTCCAGCACTATGTCTGCCTACATGCCTCCACATCCCTCTGTGATGATAACGGCTAAACTTCTGACACTGTAAGCCAGCCCCAATTCAATGTTTTCCTTTATAAGAGTTGCTGTGGTCATGGTGTCTCTTCACAAGATTGAAACTCTAACTAAGACACCCAGTGTCCCCCAATGTCCTCTCCCATGTAAACAGGTTTGGAAATCCCACCCACTTCAGTGTCTTCTAATTGCTGGCAGCAGGAATAAGCAACCTATGCCTGCAGCTCTGTATTAGTCAGGGTTCTCTAGAGGAACAGAACTGATAGCCTAATAGCGAGCGTAGGCTGCCACACATACACATACACACACACGTGCGGCAGAGACAAACACACAATTCAAAAGAAAAATACATCTTAAAAAAATAACTGAAAATCTCCTATTGAAACCAAACAACAAAGCAGAGCCAGAATTCACCAGCTGATGCTGACCTCAAGTCTGACATGAGTTTAGAAGCTGAAATTAGTTAAGACAATCAAAAACCACCCACAGAAACAGGTTCATCTAGTTGGCATGCAATTATATACTCGGCTTCTAGAATAAGAGTTTTGCACCACATGCTAAGTTCATTTGCTTGATCGGTTGATTGTGCAGAGCTTAGACTCTTAGCTAATATTTGACACAGCACATTAAAAATACACGAAGCTCATTGATTTTAGTCATTGATGAAGATTTAAAATGCAAATGGATAAAAGCCAAATGCTGCCTCAGTGACTTTTCTTCCTAGCAAGCTGAAGCCCAGAAAAACAAATGCCAAGGACCACACAGAGGAGAGGGAAGGTGGGCTCCTGCCTCTCCCCAGGTGCCTCAACTTGCTCAGGTGGTCTCCCACAGTCTAGAAGCAGTAATGACCATCCAAGGGAACCACTGGGGCTCACTGCCACTCAAGAGCCCGTAGAGCCGACTTTGGCTTGGCAAGTTTTCATCTGGAAAGTAACAGGATCTCCAACCCTAACAGGTTCAGTGGAGATTATTTCCAGCTAAATTGGAAGCCTCCCCCCCCTTTTTATCTGAGAATATACAAAACAGGAGAAAAGGGAGGCAGGCATTGCTTACATTCATTAACAATAGGCTAGCCAAGGTTCACCAGAACTAGTTTAGAACACCTGTGACCTGAATTTAGGGTGACTGGGAGTCATACCTATGTGGTTGAGTCTACAAGTCTGACTAATTAAAATGCCATGATGGTAGAGAGCCAGGATGTTGCAGATCCACAGGCAAAGTTATCTCAGGCTATCTCTGGTCCCCTCAGTAGTTCTCATTGCCCACTTGTGTCTGACCTCACATCCTTCTATCAGGTGAAATTTCTAGAAGGCAATCTTGGCAGACCACCATCTTTCACCAACCTAAAAGTTAAGGATGTCATACTCAGTGTTTGAAACCTGTAACAGGGATGGCCCAGCTTCGCTGCAAACCACCCACCTGTGTTCCCTACCACTATAGTTGAGAAATGGCTTGGTTATGCTCTTCCTTTGTTCTGGAAATATAAAGAGCTCATATGGCCACTTCCATGGTGGAACATGTCACTTCCATGGTGGACATGTGATCTGAACCCAGGCTACCCTCCCTTCTGTTT